AAAAAAAAAAAAAAAAAAACAGAAAGAAAGACAGGGAGTGGCCAGCTCTCTGCCCACCCTGGAGATAAAGGGATGGGATGGAGGGTGATTGAGGGTCTCACACCCTCCCCACCAGCCCTGAGCCCCCCTTGCCTGTGCCCGGCCAGGAACTGAAGGATCTGGCAGCTCAGCTAAAGGATGTGTCGGTGACTGTGGGCATGGCCCCCCGCTGCCACGTCGACCTGAGCGGCATTGTGGAAGAGGTGAAGGCCCAGTATGACGCCATTGCGGCTCGCAGCCTGGAGGAGGCCGAAGCATACTCCCGAAGCCAGGTGCGGGCGACCGTGGGTGCAAGGCGTGGCCTGGATGGCTCTTCCCAGGAGGGGAGGACCAGACTAGCGATGACGCCTATAGCTCTGTGCCCAGAGAATGGAGAAGCGCAGTGGCCGGGGGAAGGCCGCAGCTATCAGTCACAGGCAGGCATGGCACATGTGAAAGCCCAGCACTGGGCCAGGCTCCAAGGGGCAGCTGGGGGGCAGCCCCCAGCCCATGCCCTCCTGAGCTCACGGTGGCACTGCAGCAACGCCCGGCATGCGTGGACCCGGCTCGTGGACCTCATCCAGGGCAGCCAGGAAGAGGCCACCAGAGAGGGATGTGGTGGGGATAGGAGGAGGAGCCTGGCAGGGGCAGGCGCCACAGAGCTGGAGATGGGCCTGGGGGATGGGAGGGGAAGAGAGGCAAGGGGTGCGAGGAGGGACCTGGGAGCCGCCCCTCAGGGACTCCCACGGCCTCACAGGTGGAGGAGCAGGCCACCCGCTCGGCCGAGCTGGGCAGCAGCCTCCAGAGCAGCCGCAGTGAGATCGCCGACCTCAACGTGCGCATCCAGAAGCTCCGGTCCCAGATCCTCTCTGTCAAGAGCCACGTGGGTGTCTGGGGAACCACCTGCTGGGGGAGAGGGGTGTGCAGGGAGACTCACCCACCACTCAGATTCACACAGGCCAAAGACAGGCGGGACCTGAGTGGCCTGGGGTGGATCGCTTCCTACCTCTGTGCCTCCGTTTCCGAACCTGTTCAATGGGATGATAGCACAGCCTCGCATGGGCTTTGCACGTAAAAGTGCTCTCCAAACTGTTCGGGCCGCTGGGATGTTAGGAAGCACCACTAGCACACACACTCAGGGGCCCCTGCCTCCCTCCCAGCCTCCCCCCACCCCCAACTATACAGAGAGAAGGAAGTGAAGGCCTAAGTCCCCGCTTGCAGCCAGGACACGCCTTCAGAGCAGGTGCTGCCCCGTAAGGACAGCAGGGAGGGGCTCCTCCGACGGCTTGTGGTACTTCCTCCTGGCCTTGGGTCTTTAGGTCTAACCGAACTCTCCCTCTTGCTGCACTGCAACCCCTGGCCGCTCCCAGTAATGCCCTTGCCGAGCCCTCCCTCCCCACGCACACCCCATCGAGGGCAGGGACGACTCCGGGACAGACGACTCCCGGCCCGCTCCCTCCCGCCGGCTCGCTGACCCTCTCGCTCTGTCCTGCCGGCTGCAGTGCCTGAAGCTGGAGGAGAACGTCAAGGCGGCCGAGGAGCAGGGGGCGCTGGCCTTCCAGGACGCCAAGGCCAAGCTGGCCGAGCTGGAGGCCGCCCTGCAGCGGGCCAGGCAGGACATGGCGCGGCAGCTGCGCGAGTACCAGGAGCTCATGAACGTCAAGCTGGCCCTGGACCTCGAGATCGCCACCTACCGGAAGCTGGTGGAGGGCGAGGAGAGCCGGTGAGGGGCGGGGCCGGGGGCGGGGCGGCTGTGGGCGGGGCTGGCGAGATGGACGGCTGGCGGCCCCGCCCCCCGGAGTCAGCCTTCCCTTCCGACAAGGCCGTGAGTCCGGCAGGCTTGGGGGCAGGGCGGGGCCTTAGCCCCGTACCAACTGGGACCGTGGCCCGGCTCATTAGATCGTCAGATCCCCCATCGGGAAGATGGGCTGGTCATAAACATGGTTCACCTGTGGTGGGGAAGATTAATGTGATGACGCTTGCAAATTCCTGCCAAAAACTAAGTGCTCGGTACTATTGGTCGTGTATGCACTGGAGAGGAAATCGAGGCGCAGAGAGGGCAAGCTGGCTAGCCAGGGTCACACAGCAGGGCAAGCCCAGGGCTGGGAGTGACCACCAAGAATTGCCCTCCATTTGCCAGCCCCCAAAACCCCAATCCCAGGGGCATTCAAGCCACTGGCTTCCTTCGCACCCCCCAATATCCTCCGCCTCCTCACCCGCCAGGATGGACTTGCCCTCAGCCACCGTGGTCAGCGCTGTCCAGTCCAGACCCAGAACCGGTGAGTCTTCTTGCCTCCGAGACCCCCTGGTGGGGAGGGGGACGGGGTGTAGCGGGGCCATGATCCTAAAGGCATCATTTTAAGTGGCTCCCAAACCTCCAGCCCCTTCCCTCCCCCACCTCTTCTGCCCCTTGTAGCTGCCTCCAGGTCAGGCCTCTCCAAGGGCCCCTCCCGGAAGAAGAAAAACAGCAAAGGTTCCGTGATCAAAATCACCGAAATGTCAGAGAAGTACTTCTTGCAGGAGTCGGAGGCCTCGGAGTAAGGCAGCTGGATGCCAGGGCGCTCCCACTGCAGCATAAGGGACTTAAGCTAGACTCAAGAAAGCAGCTTGGAGCCTCTAGGTTGGGAAGAGAGGCAAAACCTGATACTGAACTGAGATGCTGATACATGACTGCTGTTTGCGGGGGCTGCCGGGAGAGGAGTATCACCAGCTGCTCAGTGCCGCTCTGCTCCGGGTCAGCGTCTCACAGTCCTTCCAACCCTCTGGCCAGAGGCTTTCCTGACTGGGTGAACTGGAATTGGGGTCAGTTTGTCTCTGTCTCCTCCTCTCTGAGGCGCCTCCTCCAGCGCCCCTAGGGGTCTGCCAAGGCCCCTTTGGCTCGTTTGCCCAATGCTTGCCCCTCACTCCTGTCTTAAGCCTTGCCTCGCCTCCGCTGGGAAACCAGGCGGGTGCCTCGGGCTGAAGCCAAAGAGCATGGCTTGGGCCCTCTCCTGTGTCTGGAGTTCCTGGGGAGTTTGGGTGCTGAGGACACCCTGGCCTTCCTGTACCCCTTGGCAACCTGACAGTATTAGGGAGTGAGGGGAGGAGGGTCCCTGGGTGTTTGGGAGCTCTGAGAACCGCCGGAAGTCCCTCCCTCCTCCCATGGGTCCCTCCCGGTGGGACACAGAACTGGACAGACTGCCCCAGCCAGCAACCAGCACCTTCTCCAGAAGCTATTCTTGCCATAACTGCTTCCCTGGGAGACAGGAGCTTGGGACCAGGAAGAGAACCAGATCTCCAACCCCCTCCCAGCCATTCCAGTGTCAGCGTCCGGCCCAGGGTCTGCACTCTCTGCCTCCCAGCCCAGGTCTTCCCAACCTGATCTCCCAGCCTTGGACACCCCAGGCCCCCTGCCCATGAACCCCACGTCTCAGGCCTCTGCACTCCTCTCCACTGGGCCCAACAGCCTGGCTCTTCCCTCCTTCGATTCCCCAAGGAGCCCAGGGGAATAGTCCCCACACCTGCGGGACTGTGGCTCCTTCCTTTCTTCCGCTCCAGCCCCGTCCTCCCTCCATGCCCTCTCGCCCTGCCTCCCGGTGAGCCATGAAGAAGGCACAGTCCAGGCAGGTCTGGGAGCTTCTGAGCCCTCAAGGCAGGCCGAGGAGCCCCACCACAGCCTAAAAGAGCTCAACCAAAGAGGAAAATCCTGCCTCCCACCAGGAGACCTGGGGCTGGCAGGCGTGCTCCTGTCTCCCCTTGGCTCTCTCCCCCGCGACTTCTGGGGATCCTAGCAGCTCTAGCCTCCCACTCTGCAAGCCTCCTGCTCTCCACCCTGCCCGCCCTCACCCCATCTCCTCTTCCAGCTGGCCTCATTTTCCAAGATGTGGGTGCTCAAGGACCTCCAGGCCTGCGGGACCACTGACCCCCAGTCCAAGGGAATGCAGACGTACTCATACCTGAAGTCCCCAAGCCCGGTGCTGATGGCTGTTTTTTCTCAGGCTCTTTATGGGTTTCCAAGGGAGTGAATCCTCCGTGGGGACACAGATATATAAAGTATAGATTATTTTTTCATAACTTATGTGGCTTTTAACTTATTGCTCCCTTTCTGTTTCTGCCTGATCAGTGCTGTGTATACTATCTGAATAAGATCTCCGGTGTCCAGCCGCCCACCTGCCTGGCTGGCTGCCAAAGGGTGAATAAAGTGTTGAGATTTGTCCGTGGACAAAGCTGTGTGTCTTTTTTTATCGCCCCTCCCAGGATTGGCCAGGCCGCCAATCAGGTTGACCACAGGATGTTAGGAATTCTTCCAGTGAAAGGAAAAGGGGTCCAGGGACCTAGTTACGCCTTCATGAAAGGGGCATGGAAAGCTCTCCTGTCCCACCATCCTACAAGGAGCCTGTCCCAACGTGACCTACGTTCCCAGCATCTCCTGACACATGCAGGCGCCACGTGGGCTGCCTTAGCCAGCCCATACGTGGGGCTTCCCCAGGTGGTAGTGGAATTTCTTCTGAAGCATTTCTACCCCACTTGGGATTGGCATGGCCCAGAATTTATTCTGATGGGGGCAGGCCTAAACCTGCCAAATTTCAGATCAACAAGGAAGGATTGGGGACTTTTTCCAAGACCAGCCCTGTGCTCAGACACCAAGATTACCGTCCGCCCCTTCATACATGATGCTCCCACTCAGGTTGAAAGATAAGATATCGACTCAAGACAGCATGGCAAGACCTCGTCTCTACAAAAAAAAAAAAAAACAAAAAATTAGCCCATCATAGTGGCACACACCTGTAGTCCCGGCTATTCTGGAGGCTGAGGCAGAAGGATCGCCTGAGCCCAGGAGGTCGAGGCTGTGGTGAACCATGATTGTACCACTGCACTCCAGCCTGGGCAACCGAGCAACACCCTGATTCACACACACACACACACACACACACACACACGATAGCCATCTTGGACTTCCCCGCCAAATACGTAAGTATGTACTATTATAGAGAAGGGCGTGTAGAGGGAACTGGAGAATCAGAACAGGCTGCTTGGAGGAAGGGGGCTTTCTGTGATCACAAAAGAGTTCACTTAGGAAACAGCCTGAAGGAAGAACAGGAGTCTCAAGGAAAGGAAGGGACCAGGGAGAAGGGACTTGGAAGCATCTGTGCCCTGGCCCACCAGCAAGGAGCAGATGGAGCCCCAGTTTTCTCATCTGTAAATGGAACATCGCCATACCCTACTTACCTCACAGGGTGTTTGGCATCTGACCAGGCAGCTTTGTTCCTTCCAATCAGAAATGACACACCCCTGGCTGCCAGCACTCTGTAGTGTAACCGCTTAACAAATGTAGAGGATTACTGGTGAAGACGTCATTGATATCACAGCAGACAATAAGGATTAATGATGGTGGACTAGTGGCGGCTCAAACACAAGCAAATAGGCCTCACCCTGGCTCACGCAGGGCAGGCCACAGCCAGGCCTGAGTGGATTCATCCTCCCGAGAACCGTGAGCCCCGCACTCCACTCTCCCAACCCAGGGGAGACTGACCACAAACCTCACACCTGTCCCAGAGAGGCCTAGGCCTGAGACCAGCTCACTCGTGTTATCTTTGTTTTCTATTTTATTAATTTCTGAACAGAAATTTGGATGTCTCGAGGGAATTTGAATTTCTGTATCTCAGTAGGAATTTCATCGTCAAGAATGACATGACAGGCTGGGCTCAGTGGCTCAGCCTGTAATCCCAGCACTTTGGGAGGCGAGTGGATTGCCTGAGCCCACAGGTTCAAGATCCGCCCAGGCAACTTGGCAAGACCTCGTCTCTACAATAAGTCAAAAATTAGCCGGGCGTGGTAGCACGCACCTGCAGTTTCGGCTACTTGGAAAGCTGAGGAGGAAGGATCGCCAGAGCCCACCAGGTCAATGCTGGGGTAACTGTGAGTGTGCCACTGCACTCCAGCCTGGGCAACAGAGTGAGACTCCAACTCAAAAAAAAAAAAGAATGACATGATGTATTTGTTGTGTCCTTTGAGTTTATTGTTTTATGACTTTCCAACTTCTTGAGTTGACCGCTTCATCTTCCCTCTCTTTTCAGGATAAGATTCTTTGAAGGTCATATATTCCCCTCTAAGCCCCATTTGACTGCCTCTGGTCACTCTCATCTGTAGAATTCTCACTATCATATAGTTAAGATGATTTTAATCAGTTAGGCGCAGTGGCTCACACCTATAATCCCAACACTTTGGGAGGCTGAGGTGAGAGGATTGTCTGAGCCCACCGGTTTGAGATAAGCCTGGGCAACTTAGCAAGACCTCATCTATACAATAAATCAAAAAATTAGCTGGGCGTGGTGGCACGTGCCTATAGTTCCAGCGACTTGAAGACTGAGTTGGAAGGATCCCTAAATCCAGCAGGTTGAAGCTGCAGTGGCCATGAATGTGCCACTGCACTCCAGCCTGGGTGACAGAGTAAGACGCCAACTCAAAAGAGAAAAGATAGCTGGGCTCGGTGACTCAGCCTGTAATCCCAGCACTTTGGGAGGCTGAGGTGCGTGGATTGCCTGAGCCCGCGGGTTTGAGACCCACCTGGGCAACTTGGCAAGACCTCATCTCTACAATAAATAAAAAATCAGTTGGGCGTGATAGCGGATGCCTATAGTTCCAGCTACTTGGAAGGCTGGGGCAGAAAGATTGCAGGAGTCCAGCAGGTCGAGGCTGCAGTGGCTGGGAGCGTGCCACTGCACTCTAGTCTGGGTGACAGAGTGAGACTCCAACTAAAAAAAAAGAAAAAAGATGATTTTAATCTTTGGCTCATACGTTATTTAGAAATGGGTGACCCACACATGGGTCTTCATTTCACAAACATCACTGAATACATACTTAGTCTTTGCCTGGCCCTGCTCCGAGGCTGAGGAGGACGTTCAGTTTAGCCAGCATCTGTCTCTGTATCCTCGACTCTCTACCCCTCTACTTAATCAGTACCCCAGCTGCTGCCTTTGTGGCTGTCACCCACAGAAAACTCTGGACTCCTTGGGGGCAGGAACTGTGTTCCACTGTATCCTCAAGACCTCACACAGTGCCCGGCCCATCGTGGGTTTTTGACGAATGTAAAATGAACAAATGATGTCCCTTCCAAGTCAAGGTCTCCTGGCCTAAAAGCCCCATGAAGGCGGAGGCATGTCTCCTTGACCTTGGGTCCCAGGTGCCAATGCAGTGCCCAGCACAATGAAAGAGCACAGGGCGGTAGCTCACACTTGTAATCCCAACTTTTTGGGTGGCCGAGGCAAGAGGATTGCTTGAGCCCGGGAGTTTGAGACCAGCCTGAGCACAGCAAAGCTTTGGCTCTAATGAAAAGGAGCTTGTTTGGAGGTTCTAGCAGGGGAGCGCAGCTACTCATATACCCTTGACCGAAGAACGGTCCTCCTCTAGCGGGGAGGGTCGTCCTCTTCGACCGAGCACACAGCTTCGGGAGGGATGCACATGGAGTGGTGAGGGAGGAAGGGGACACCCACCTAGTCAGCCAGATCAGCCGAATCAACCCTGGCATCAATGGGGTGACAGATGTCACAGCCAGATCGCCCTCGCATGCCACTGCACTCCAGCCTGGGTGACAGAGTGAGACTCCAACTCA